GGGGAATCGACTACTACTAAGAAGGTGAAGGTGAAAGCAAAAGTCACCACTGAAAAGAAAGGATTTCAAAAAAAAAGTGAAATCTTCTTTACCAACAGCGTGGACGACACAGCAACTCTTTTAAGCTCGTTGTTGTCATTACTACACCAAGCGAAAACACGGAGCGACTAAATAAGTTGGATTCCAGGACACCACAGCCACCATTTACAATTCGTTTAACGCTCGAGTTGCCCACTCATCATTGTTCCAAGAATTGACACCAAAGTCTGTCGTTTGAAATTTGTATTGATCCACTTAGCTTAGCAGCACGATGCCCATACACGACACCAGATCTAGGACGCAATCACATACAAAGCTAACAAAGTGCTTGAGAGCATCTTCCTGCCGAAATGGCAGCGCGTGGATGATAGCAGAAGACCAGCAGATGAGCAGAGGCCCGAAAATACAATACCGGTACTGTAATATATTGGGGGTAAAGTTTAGCCGTAATATAAAATTTAATTTGAGCACTTCCATTAGTAAAAATTGCCGTAATTTAAGTATATTGGAGCAATACCTAGCTACGCCTCGACCTACCGTGTACTCTTATACTAGCCATGATCCCTTGGAGTATGCCGGCCCGATGGTCAGCTGGCCAAGCCACGCCAAGCCCCCATTATTTAAAGCCGTTATCATGTTCTGCGGTAGGTCTGACGACGGCTGCCAGGTTAATTCTTAAAACCCCATCCAGGAAGCTAAAAATCATCTTGACTAGTTTTTTTTTTCGGCACCCCTCTTGTCCAGGTTTTATCACTCAGGTATTGTCCAGGTATACCGGCAGGTATTGTCCAGATAGAGTTTTTACGGTTTAAATTACTCTCATTTTCTTCTTTTGATTCCTAGCCACCGGTTAGGGAGACACGTGGCAGCCCCCCCCTCCCACGCACCGAGGATAGCACGCACGCACAAGACTGCCCAGATCAAGGCGAAGATGGCAGAGCAAGAGCGTGTGGCCGAGGAAGCTCGTCAGGCTAACCTCGCTCTCTTGCGTGCGGCGCGTACGCGCTCAGAGAGAGCACACGCCAGAGAAATCATGGAGACATCTCGCCCTAGTCCAACTGAAGTAGCAGAGGACAGCAATGCTCAAGAGCGAGTGGAGGAGGTAACAGAAA